CGAAGCAGACTTCGCAAAGTGTTGGATTGTTCACCCACCAATAGGGAACGTGAGCTGGGTTTAGACCGTCGTGAGACAGGTTAGTTTTACCCTACATTGGATTTTGTCATTGATATAGGAATCGTACTTAGTACGAGAGGAACCGTACGTTCGGACATTTGGTTTACGTATTTGTTCGAAAGGACAATGATGCGAAGCTACCATCCGACGGCTTACAACTGAACGCCTCTAAGTTGGAATCCGATCTAGACTCAATGATTCTTTGGCACATTGGTTGTCGTCAGCACATTTATATATGTTCAAACTGTTGATCAAGTGAACATATGAATGAAGCTACAGTATTGTTGCTCGAGTGTGATCGAAATGAGATTACGGCCGCAACAGTGCATCTTTAGTCGAAACAACACTAATGGCTTGAATCGATTGTAAACGACTTTCTTCAGTAACAGAGTAACGTACACGTGAGAGCAACCGCCACATTGCGATCCGCTGAGTTTCTGCTCGATGTTATGCTGATTCGATAGGCTTCAGTCCTATACGACATTTGCATTCATCATCAACATATGTCATATGGAAGAAGCAAGTCGAAGTATGAGTGTGACTTGGACTTGGCGATTTTTTTCTTGCCTCCATGCCACCATGGGCAAGTTTGTTTGGGAGAATATGTCCAAGTCGTCTGAAACTTCCATCGATGCAACATCATCATCCATGTATACATAGAGTGTCGATGTGTAGTAAGTAGGGCCAGACATGTGCGAACAGAACTTGGACGATCGAAGAAGTGTCCTGCACAAGTGGTAGCATCGTTCGAGTTTCGTCATAGACTCGGTGTCAATGCATGCTGAATCGGTAGACTTCAGTTCTATTCACGATCTCTGCATTTCATTCATCTATTCGACATACGAGACCAAACTGGTTCTTCATCGGTAGACACGCCTAAAACATGCGATCAGATCCTTGGGCCAATGCCGGCTAGGACATCATCGTCGGTCGAAACTCGATCATCGATCTCTGTACGAAACGGCATACACCTCTCGCACTTACACACATCCATCCATCCATCCATCCATACGTAGATTGATCAAAGAGATCAGCGAACAACTGGCTACTTGTAGTAAACTACGTCTGTTCATGTACCTACATTCGACATTCGATGAGCGTCTTCCATTTGGCTACCTATGTCGAGAAAACACAGGTCCACTCCGCCCATGGAGTCACTAATTAGATGGTGAGCCATTTGGCTAACTACATGATCATGTACGAACATATCGGTGACATCGTCATTTCGTTCTTCACGTCAAGAAAACAATCGTCCACCTCTCCCATGCAGTCACTAATTNAGCAAATATGTTGTAAGTTCGAATTTTACATGTGTGCAAGATATTTGCTGGTTCGTCGAAAATGAACCAGCAAATATGTTGTAAGTTCGAATTTTACATGTGTGCAAGATATTTGCTGGTTCGTCGAAAATGAACCAGCAAATATGTTGTAAGTTCCCATTTTGCATGCAAAAGCAAACTCGTAGTTGTCGAACCCGGAGATACGTTTTTTGCATTGGTTTGTCTGACTGTGCAATGATCTTGTCGATCGATGCTGATGTTGTGATGAAGCGATAGTTCGGCTAAGACTACTGTGTATATGCAGTGGTATAGCAGTGTGAACATGTTATATGTGTGAATTGAAGTGAAAGTCGTTCGAAGCTGCTTCGTCGATTTTCATGACGATCGTACATGTTTGTTCGCATGACCAAACGAATTTCTATATCGCATGTAATAAAACATCACAACTGGCAACGAAGTGAATGCGGTTGAAAATGTTTCAACATATGCACGACTAACTTCGATAACATCTTGTTGATTGACTCCTCGTAGTTGATCAGTCGATGCTTGTTTGGGCTTGAATGCTTGTAAACGAGTTGTTGAAAGAACAGGAATGAATTTATTCCATGATGTGGGTTGGTTTTGTTTCGTCTCGATGAAACAACGCACACATACTTTACTGTTACATACATACATATTCGTACGTATGTCAACGGTAATGCTATCAACACTGGTCATAATGAAGTGATTTCATTTGACTCTGTTGTGAAACGAAGAGATGTATTTGTATATTGCTCGTCAATATCGATACATTCTCGACATAGATAACGAAGCTTTCCGATTGATCTTGTCGGTGGCTTTCCTTTATCTTGAAGATTAAGCCATGCATGTCTAAGTATGAACTGGTTTAAGGTGAAACTGCGTACGGCTCATTACATCAGCTATAACTTTCTTTGATCATAACTCCTAAATGGAATAACCGAGGAAAAGCCTGGGCTAATACATGCGACAATTCCGGTAGCAATATCGGAATGCTTTTATTAGATCAAAACCTTCTAGTTCCTTCACCGGAACTGTTTGTTGGTGACTCTAAATAACTTTGTGTTGATCGTATGACCTCCGTGTCGACGACATATCTTTCAAGTGTCTGACTTATCAACTTTAGACGGTACATTATATGTCTACCGTGGTTGTAACGAGTACAGAGAATCAGGGTTTGGTTCTGGAGAGGCCGCCTGAGAAACGGCGACCACTTCCAAGGAAGGCAGCAGGCGCGCAAATTACCCACTCTCAAAACGAGGAGGTAGTGAAGAGAAATAACGATGTTAGTCTTTTCAAGGCTGACAATCGGAATGGAAACACTGTAAACAGGTTATTGATTAACAATTGGAGGGCAAGTCTGGTGCCAGCAGCCGCGGTAATTCCAGCTCCAATAAGGAAAACTAAAGTTGCTGTGTTTAAAAAGCTCGTAGTTGAATTTCGGGTATTTGTTGCTGGTTGGTCTCGCGACCTTTTTGGCTAACAGATCCTCACTTGCTGGACAGTTGGCGATGATCTTTATCGGTTGTCGTCAGTTGCCAGAACGTTTACTTTGAGAAAATTAGAGTGCTAAAAGCAGGCTCTCGCCTATATATATTGCATGGAATAATGAAATAAGATCTCGATTTTATTTCGTTGGTTTTAGAAATTGAGATAATGATTAATAGGATCAGAGGGGGGCGTACGTACTGTGGTGTGAGAGGTGAAATTCTTGGATCGCCACAGGACGAACAGCAGCGAAGGCGTTCGCCAAGAATGTTTTCATTAATCAAGAACGAAAGTTTGAGGTTCGAAGACGATTAGATACCGTCCTAGTTCAAACCATAAACGTTGCCAACTGTCTTTTAGATGCGGTTACTCATATGACTCATCTGGCGGATCTCGAGAAATCTAAGTTTTTAGGTTCCGGGGGAAGTATGGTTGCAAAGCTGAAACTTAAAAGAATTGACGGAAGGACACACAAGAAGTGGAGCCTGTGGCCTAATTTGACTCAACACGGGAAACCTTACTCGGCCAGGACACTTTTAGGATTGACAGATTGAGAGCTCTTTCTTGATTAGGTGGGTGGTGGTGCATGGTCGTTCGTAGTTCGTGGAGCGATTTGTCTGATTAATTTCGATAACGAACGAGACTCCGGCTTACTAAATAGTCTAAAGTTCGCAGGGACTTTTCAAGACTTCTTAGCAGGATAAGTGGCACTTTTTAAGCCACACGAAATGGAGCAATAACAGGTCTGTGATGCCCTTAGATGTCCGAGGCTGCACGCGCGCTACACTGGAGAGTTCAGAATGTTTCTTCCTACTTCGACAGAAGTGGGTAACCATGAAATTCTCTTCGTGACTGGGATCGGAGCTTGCAATTATTCTCCGTCAACGAGGAATTCCTAGTAAGCACTATTTCATCAGAATGTGCTGATTATGTCCCTGTCCTTTGTACACACCGCCCGTCGCTACTACCGATTGAATGTTTTAGTGAGATCTTCGGCTTGGTTTTCCGAGCGGCTCTCGGGTCGTTCGGTATATATCGAAAAGATGCTCAAACTGGATCATTTAGAGGAAGTAAAAGTCGTAACAAGGTATTCGTAGGTGAACCTGCGTATGGATCATTACCGTTCTTGATTGATTTCGTATCGATCATCAACATATTTCAACTTCGCACAATTGTTTCTCTCGAGATAATTGTGTCGCACCATTATGTATCGAAACAAGATGACATATTCATATGGATAGGACATCTTCGTGATGACTCGTTCATGTGTTGTCTTGTTTCTAAACCTTTTCCATTCAACAAATCATTGTTGTTTGTCATTGAATATGAATCGAATCTAAAATACAGAAAACTAACAATTCTGTACGGTGGATCACTCGGCTCGTTATTCGATGAAGAGCGCAGCAAAGTGCGAGAAAGCAATGCGAATTGCAGGACACATTGAGCATGAATAACTCGAACGCATCTAGCAGCCAAGGCTCAGCCGAGGCTAAATTTGCTTCAGTCTTGTTTACATAACATCAAATTCATTTATTGTTATCAATAGATGAATTGCTGGCAAGTTCGATATACTCTCGTATCTAGCTTGCAAGACCTATTTTACATATGACATGATTATGTAGATTGGATTTTCCAATGTATGTATGATTGTTGTATACGTATGAAACGGAGTTATACACATACACACATAAAAATAAATTTTATTGTGTAATCTGTCATAACACGAGAAATCTTTATCATATCCGTGTTATTGATCATCGACAATAGAATTTCATGTGTCAAGTGTGAATGACATTCCTTGTTCTATATGAAATGATTTGATCATTCTCATTCGTTTCAAGCTGAAGTCAAATTAGAATACTTGCTGAACTTAAGCATATTAATAAGCAAAGGAAAAGAAATCAACTGAGATTGCCTTAGTAATGGCGAATGAACCGGCAAAAGCTCATTGCTGAAGCGTATTAGATTCACTTCTAGTATGCATTGTAGCATTTGGGGTTGCCACTGTAGGATGCCTGTTCGTGTGAGTTCCTTTGATCAGGGCTTCTACCATAGAAGGTGCTAGTCCTATAATCACGAATAGTGTGTCTTACATGGTCTACCTTTCGAGTAGCGTAGTTTGAGATTGCTACGCCAACGTGGGACGTAAACTTG